CGTGATCACCACTTCTCTCCCCTGGTGGTGTGCGTGTGATGTGGTGTGTGTGATGTTGTGTGTGCTTATTTATTTTCATTTGTTACTCGTATATGTAGTGATATGATTGAATTATCATATCTAGTACCTAACTGCTCTTCCTATTCTCATACACTATGATTTTCTGCGTGCGATTTATTCCCCTACACACTCTGCTTGCTTGCTCCTCCTATACACCCTCGCTCCAGCCCGAAGATTGACATATACTAAATTTCTGTCCACTACATTTTACTTTATGTAACTATCCCCCTACATCACGTAATATGTATATCATATACGCTCCTGTTTCGTGCTTCTCCTCTCTTTTTTCCCCATCTCTCATCACATACACATATGCATATACTCATAGATGCTATATCAATTCACCTATATTCATACTACTATATTAATCTATTTCTACATATTTTATCTCCATATCTATCTCTATATTATTTATCTCACACTCTCTCCATTTACCTCTAGCTATCTATCTCTTACTCCTTACATAAAAATTTCCCCATATCTTTCCTTCATCCCCTCATTCCCTCCCCCACTTTTTCGCCTATCCTATTTCCTATATACTCTACACCGTGAATTTGCCCTCCGCCGCCTCCTCTCCTTCTCTGCGTGTATGTATATGCATAAATATATTAATATACTATATCTATCTATCACCCCTCATATATAATATATTATTAGTTATATATATACTATAATATATTATACTACATACATACGCCTACACCTATACTACTACTATACATAATATATTTACCGATGTACACTACACTATATACTCACACTACTAACTAACATTCTAGTAATACTTTCTACAATTCACATCTCTAATTACTAACCCCTATCATGTATACCTTACTATAGTATAGCATAGTTATCTATCTTTTATACCCTTCACCCACTATTCCGTTACATGCCATAATAAATCAGTTCACTTTCAGCTCTCAAATAGTAAAATCATAACCTATTATAATATATAACACCTAATAACATATAGAATACATATTTTAGTATATAAATAACCTACACAATCTACTATGTATCTACTACACGCCATGACCAACATCAACAATCCTATATCACAAACTAAAGAAGCCTCTACCCGATCTACAGGCCCGCAGAGAGCGTCACACGTCCCGCCGCGTGATCCGGGCGCCCCGCCGAGCATAGCAAATCCGGACTGGCCGCCTGAGTCCGTCAATCAACACAGATCCCGGTAAGGGATGGAAGAACTTCTGGCGAATAGCTTTTGTTCTCTTATCCAGTTGCCATTTCGTCCAAGAGACACTTCAGTCTTCTATTTCCTGGCTTTCACTCTATCGACCCTTTGTGGAAATGGGCTTTTCGGAGAACAGCGTGTCGGCATAAGTATATGCATCATTGTGGCTGTTTAAAAGATCAGCTGTTGATGTTTGTGGTGTGTGTGTTTGGTATTCATGACCGATTCGACAGTGTAATTTTTTTTTTTTTTTTTTTTTTTTTTTTTTTTAGCTTCATGATGTGAGTTGAGTTTTATCGTTGTGGAAGAGATGTTTAGTATTACACTTGGGTGGTCTTCTATCCAAATGAAAAGAGATTTGTAGATTTTGACCTTGATATTTTTACTTTTATTTGTTTTGTTTTTTTTTTTTAGTTTCTTTGTGCATTAATAATAAATAATGTATGCTGATCACAGGATTGCTGGATAGATATAAAAGCTGTTTACTGGGTTTAATTCCAGATTCATTAGAACAGTAATTTGGGAGCTCAAGCCAATTCTGTATTACTGAAATGTCTGCTTTGTCCATGATTTTAATTGGTAATGATAAATTGATTTGCTTCTGCATATCCTGACTTCCACATTTTTTACTGTCGTAATTACAGTATTTCTGAAAGAAAAAATTTGTCCTAGCTATATTAAGTCTTTTATTCCATGAAGTAAGAATAAAGGCAAATTTACAAGGAAAAAAAATGCACCAAGGCTTATGGTTTGTGGGTTTTTGGAATTTTCTTGAACTTAGATTTACCATTATGGTAATCAATCCAAACCCAAATTTAAACAGTTGTTATGAATAGAATGTATAAGAAATATAGAAAAACTAAGATACCATAATGAGCATGCAGTGACAGTATTTATTGGCAGAAAAAGAAAAAATGCAGGAAGTAAGGGGAAAAACCACAATCCTCAGATCTGCTTGTTTAGCTATGTCCAGCACTTCTAAGATCTCAGTACTTTTAGCTCCAGCAAAGGCAGACATATTCACCTTGTATATTAGTGGTAGAAAGAGCTTGCTGGCTTCATTGGCAATTTTATCTTATCAGATAACAGCTAACTAAAGCTAAACTGATCCTCTGATCAACTTAGCCCTAGCCACAGCCCATCTACAATATCGCCCATAGCAGCTTTATCAACACCAAAGTCAAAAGTTGTCAGGTGCTCCTGAGACTTGGGGGGAATCTCGCGCAACTCACTTTTTGATTGTCCATTTGCATGTGCTTCTCTCTAGTGCATCAGGGGTATTTCCTGTGTGTATGCTGAGCAAAAAGTTACAGTATTTATTCTAGACGCAAAGATTAAGTTGAGCATATTGTATGAAGAAATGATGAATGAAAACTGAGGTAGTGACATCTTTTCCAGTGGCAGTTAGGGTGTTGCATGACATACGATTACATCAAAAGGTGTCTCGTGATTGGAGGCGAGACATGTCGCTAAGTTCCACCCATTTCTATGATGTAATGGAAGCAGCCACTGTTGATGGCTTGTAGTTTTACTGTATTGGTAACTTTTTCGACTGGTACACGGTATTTTCAAATGTAATGTCCTAGATGGCTATTGATACCTTGGGTTGGATTTTGCTGTGCTCTAGATGCATGAAAACTTAAATAGTAGGAATGCATCTAGCAGCTCGATAAATGTTTGCCACGTACTCAATTCCTGTGTCATGAGAGGCTGCAGTCGTTAGAATAGACACTCAGGTAAAGATAATGTACATGATTGAGGATTGGAATAAAATGCATTGCAGCAGACCACTGAAAATCTATGTGAAAAACAGGTTTAATTTTATGCAAATTTTACTCTAATTCATGTTAGGTTTATTTATTATACATCTCAGAATAGTTTTGCTACTGCTTTCAAAAAGGTTAACAGTAAAGATGAGGCATCATTATTCTTAGCTTCTTTGTGCTCTTAGATAATTTGTCAATGAGCAGTTAATGCTTATTTCATTTTGAAAATTGAATTATACTTTTACGTTTTTTCAAACACTCCATTGCCAGATAATCATAATGATTTTATAAATTCATTCTTCCCAACTTGAGTTTTGATGGTACTTTGTAATTTTGTAAGAACTTATTCATTAGGCCTAATATGATGAATGAGCAAATTTTTGAGACAGATATGACTTTTGGGTTAATCTTTATGGTATTGATACACTAAGGTAGAATGAATTAGTGTTATTCTTATGCGTTTTATGGGTTCATTAGCACCCCGCACATTATTATTGAGATTGAGAGAGTGAGAGGACAAAAAGTCACAGTCCTCGGTACAAGAAATAATTTGCAAAAACGAGTGGTAATGCCTCGTAGTACACAAAGTGTTGCTCACAGTCAAAGTGCACTCAGTGATCCTGAGTTTCAGTTCTATCTCACTGTGCATACTGAGGTGAAGATAATGATTGCCGAGGGTTTTGGGGGGCAGAGCCTCTCACCAACCTCCCCCTCAAGCATGTCCAGTCATGGCAGCTTCAATTATTGAATAAATTTATGATGTGGATCAGATGATTGATATCAATATCTTGTATATTAGCTTGTCTGAGGGCTTGTTTTAGTTTTATTCAGTGGGAATTGAATCTTGGACAGTGTTGTATCATATGTTCTATAGTTTCTTCTTGAATTCTGCACCATCTGAAGAATGGGTATTTTTCATTTTTAGTCTATAAAGGTGTTGTTTTACGGCCGGCTTGTTAAAATTGTGCCAGGCCCGACCCAAAGAATATTTGTATACGTGACATGCAAAAATACAAAAGTTTTGTTTATTGCTATAGTCCTGGGTTTTCTCTGTGTATAAGATAGTTTAGTTCTGGTCTTTCATTCATTATGAATCTTGCATTCCTTAGTATTGTCTTGTTCATTTTAATATTCAAATAAATGGTTTAGCATTGTCAATAGTTGGGAGAACTCCTCTTCCCTACATGTATTAATTAAGCAAGTTTGGATTGTCGATGCATATATGATTTTCTGTGGGGATCAGTGAAAAACAGAGTTGATGGGCTTAACGCTCTGTATTCAGGAGAATCTATGTGTTACTACGAGGGGTTGTTTACATTACACGAGTACAAAACATTGCTGTAAGATGGTGTAAAAGAAAATATACTCTTATATGGGTAACTCAATCAAATATAATTTTATCGTAGTCTAGGTAAAATGAGGCATATCATAGATGTATATGAATGTACTTACACTAATAAACATTTTTAATTACTCTAACAAGCAATATGCTAATTTCATTTATCACATCCATTATATTTTGTATTAGTGATTTCTCTTGAGTTTATGTTGTTTATAATATTTGTTATTATTTGCAAATGTTTTTGGCAGGTTTTATTCATGAAAAGCTCTCTTCATTTCCTTCTTTATTAGTATGTCTATTTTCTCTATGCATTATTGGGGTCGGTAGCAGCCATGCATTTGGTGAGTTTATCTTGTCTGTTTGTCTAGTGTTTGTTTTGCTTTGTTTTCTTCATGTGATGTATATTTGTATTTGTTTGGAGATGTCATTTGTCGTGTCTTGTTTGTTTTACCTGTTTTGATTCTGTTTGGACGTTGATCCATTGGTTTGTGTGGGGTTCTTTGCAAATAGCTTTTTGTTCTCTTTCAGTTGCCATTTGAGATTGGGTTAATTTCAGTGCATATGTTTCTGTTCTGTTTTCTTCTGTTGTTTGTGGTGGTGTGTTTTCAAGGGTTTGTTGTGTGTTTAAGTTGTATGTTTTGTTTTGTTTGTGATGCATTTGTTTCCTGTGTTTGGTTACAGAAGTCTCATTTCCTACCGCCATGTTTGTTGTTGGTTACAGAAGTCTCATTTCCTACTGCCATGTTTGTTGTTAGTTTTTTACATGTCCTTTTTTTTTTTTTTCCCCAGTGTTTTCCATCCAGCTTCTCTGTTTTTCGGTCATTATATGGAATGGGGATTTCTTTGTTTTCTCTCACTTTCTTTTTTTCTTTTCTTTTCTTTCTTTTTTTTACTTTTGTGAATCCCCCAAAGGAGAGCTGTCAATTTATTCTTATAAATACATGTTTTGTGGCCATTCCTGACAGCTATACCATTATCCTTTATTTATTTTATATTGTTATTAATAATCATAAGATTAATTACTGCAGACTAGAGCTATGACAATTTAAAAGGCATTTTGGATAAAACTGTATGTCAACAATATGTCCCAGTTGTGTCTGAAATTATACATAAAAAATAGTACAAATATTCTATCGCCAGTCATAAGTGATGGTAAGACTCTTTCCTATGTGATATTGCATATCAAAGCATTCATAATGGGGTGGCATCCTGTCGCGAAAGTCTACCCTTACCAACAGGATGATGTCTTCATATCATGCATGGTTGAGCCTGCTGTAAGCTGTGTGAAGTAAACATCTGTGTGTCTGTTTGGACCTGGCAATGGTCACTGAGGAGAAACAAAGACTCAAACAAAGGCTTAAAACCTCTTTTTAGCCTCATTACCTAAATGATTGGTTATGCCACAGCAAAGAGCTTAGAGAGCAAAGTGATTTTATGTTTCCCAAGCTTCTAATTTTTCCCACAAGTTGCTGACTCTACACCAACCCTGAGCTGTGATTTGGTACTGGGCTGGGGCACCCACTGTGAGTGAGTGAGGAATACTTTATATATATATATATATATATATATATATATATATATATATATATATATATATATATTATATATTATATATATATATATATGTGTGTGTGTGTGTGTGTGTATATATGTATATATGTATATGTATATATATACAGAAAAGTTAAACTTACATACCCACATGTTATAATTTTTATCAATATTATATTGATCCAGGTAAGCCACTAGAGCAACAGCTGATGTCTAATGAGATTAGAAAAAAAAGAAAAATTAAATACTTGATGAAGAGCTTTTTTTATTTGGGCCATTGCAAGCAGTGCAGTATTTGCTTCTGATATCTCCATTTTTAGGTATTAAATACAGCCTTCAACTCTGCAGAAAGAAAGCACTGGCTGTGACTGGAGGAGGTGGTGTAGAACAGGCAATGGAATGGCTTTTAGCACATGCTGACGATCCAGGCATCAACGACCCACCTGCGGAGGATGTAACAGGTGCTGCAGCTGGGCACAGTCTTGGTCAGTTCAGTGCAGTGTTAGTTATTCTTCTGGATATCATGACAGATATTTGTGTGTTTTAAAAAGATGAAGCTGTTGTTGCAAGATATGATTAAATTTTATCTTGTTTCTAGGTTCTCAAGAGGGTAGTGAAAAGATGGAGACTAGTGAATACACCCAGAAAGTAAGGAGTCCTGGTGCTCCATCACCAGCCCAGCAAAAAGCTGAAGATGACCAGGAGAAGCTTCTGCAGAATAGTGGACGAGAGCTGCTCAAACACTCTATCTCTCAATATTGCACATATTCGTGCATTCCACCTTCACGTAAGACTTTCCACGGATCACCATCAGGTTTTAAAAGAAATCCCCCTTGCATATCGAAGTCTTTTCCTCTTAGACATTATAAACTTGTTACCATGAATGCGTGATCATTAACATCTCAGCCATGCACAGCCAGGCAGCCCTCATCAGCCATAACTACCCTCGTTACTCCCATTCATCATTCTCACACCTATCCCCAGCATCCCCTCTACTGAACTCTAATCTGTTCGTCTTCTAGATTATCTCTCTGATACAACTTTAACATCACCGTCATTCAAACCTATTCTATCGCCTTCGACCTCACTCATCCTCTCCCGGACTCATGCTATGTTAAACCATCACCCACTCTGCGTTAACTTGTCCACAAACTTACAAACTAATTCCTTCATCTTCATGTCCTCTGACTATTTTTTACTCTCTTCCCATTGCTCTGTGTTGTCGCTCAAAACTTTTCAAAACTCTCCTCTGTGTTCA